TTATTGAGAAAGAAGTAGCAATGAGATACTTTCAAAACAGGTTAGTAGGACAGTTACAATAATGAAGACAATGCATATTGTTGTCTTTGTAGTAGTTATTCATAGCACAGGATGCAGACATGATACCTTGTACAAACACTATTAGTTCAAAACTCTCTTCTCATTGAACTAAGAGAAAGTAGCTGTATATCTATGCTAACTATTTTGTCTATACAGATATATATTTTTTCACTACCAAATGGACCTTCATTGATATCCCCTTTTTTTGTTTACTTTTGTCAGAAATTAGGCCCTTAGTAAGTATCTGTTTAATGACTGAATGGGACGACTGTCCCACACCTAAAGCATGACATGATTACCGTTCTCCTCTGCCATGATCTCAACAAGATGTTGGGCTTCCTCCTGGATGCGCTCCTCTAAGCTCTTCTTTCCTAAGCCAAAGTTCCTTAGTGTGCTTAGAGCGAACCTTCGTTGTTCCTTCCATACTTGGCCACTGGACATGAACAGTCCTAGAGAAATGACAGCCAACATTATGACATCCTGATATGACCTGGGGAATATCTGCCAATTGTATGGACTTGTGTGTCAGATAAAAAGGAGAAGGGACATGAACACACTTGAAATTTATTCAGAGACATACTTCCACAGCAATATGTGTAATTCTAAGGTTTACTGCCTAATAGTTATTAGCTGCTTGCAGTTTAGTACTTTTATGTTTTTTGTAATTTGGTGCTCAGAGAAATGACACAGCATAGTTTGAAGTACCATCACTTCCAACCGATTTTACTGAGGAGAAAACTAAGGAACTAAGAATAAAAGATAAAGTGCACATTGCTTGGTAATGCAGTTTGTAAGCACATGTTCAAGTACTAGTCTCTGTATCTGAAACCCATGCTTTGATTAGAAGTCAGATAAGCTCAGTGAAGAATTAGTGTTAAATTAAAGATCTGTAGTGCAGACATGGCAAAGCCAATGCACGCAGGCATAAGAAGGCACAAAACGGCTTTACAGGAGAGATCATATCTGATCTGGGTCTTAAACAATGAGGAATGATCCAAAAGTGTCAGGAATGAATCTCCTACCAGAAAGAAGAGCACCAAGTCCAGAACATCTTATTGTGTTCCATAAACCATTTGTTTTATAACACAGGCAGCACTAAGCTCTGTTTATATGTCTTTATTTTTAGAGTACTCTTCACCTTCTTTGTGTTTTGACCTTCACCATCACATTAAAATGGCCCTCTTCACTCTGAAACCCGTGAAATCTCCAACCTCATCTCATGTGGTTTTTCCTTAGCTCTACACACTTCCTGATATTTTTTTTTTTTGTCTTTTTGAGACAGGTTGGACTTGAACTTACTTTGTAGCTCAGGCTAGCCTTGAACTCACAGCAATCATCCTGCCTCAGCCTCCTGAGTGCTGGGATTATAGTTGTGAGCCACCATGCAGGGCCTCACACTTCTTGTTTGAATGACTCTTTTCCCAGTAGAGATCAGGATAGCACACATACATACGTTTCCTTGAATCTCTGTAAGCAAATTCTCACACCATTTTGTGGTTTATTTTCTTCTATGAAATCTTCAAGTAGGTCTCCAGCCTCCTCTCTTTTCAACCCACATTTCCACAGAAAATCTTATCAATGCGTATAATTTTAAATAATAACTACTGCTAGAAACCATCTCTTTCTAGCCAAGAACTCTGTGTCCATTATGGAAATGAAAGCTTATCACTTCAATTTGCCAATTTAAAGCATTACAAACATGGCACATCCATGCTTAAATTCTTAACGTTTTCCATAGTGCTCTGAACAAAAAGCCAAACTTACCCAAATACCTCCTTCTCTTACCTGTACCTCTTTCCATCAGGTAGCTGTGTGGGATGCATCCCAATACCTTCCTGTCCCTCCACTGAAGGCATTGTGTCCTGTTAGGTTTAACTAATGATTTCCTGGAATCCATGTAACATCACCAGTACCATCTCTTCCTAGAATACTGTCATTTCTTCTCTTAAGCTGTCATTTTCTGTAAACTAACATCTACATAACCTTGTTATCTCAACTACATTTTTGTCATGCAAAAAACACATTTAACCCATAAAGAAACTCACAGGCTGAAAGTCAAAGGATGGAAAACAATACTACATGCTCCAGGACCTCACAAAAAATCAGGGCTAGCTGTTCTGTTCACAGATAATCTAAACTTCAAAACAAGAATGACCAAACAAGAACAAGAAGGTCACTATCTACTACTTACAAGAAAAATTCAAGAGGAGGAGATAATAGTCACAAAAATGTATGCCACAAACACAGAAGCACCCAACTATAAAAGACAAATTTTAAAGATCATGAAAATTCTACTAACCAGTATCACAGTCTTAACAGGGGACCTTAATACCCCTTATCCCAAAAAGATAGATTAAGCAGGCAAAAAATAAGCAAACAGGTAGCAGAACTGAACCAAAACTTTGAACAAATGGACTTAGGGGACATAAAGAGTGTTCCACCCCCCCCCCAACATCTGAAGACACATTCTTTTCAGATGCACATGGGGCATTTTCTAAAATAGACCACATACTAGTCCATAGGTCTCAATTGCATGCAAGAAAATAGAAATTATCCCATGCATATTATCTGACCACATTGCAATGAAACTCAAAGTTAATGACAAAAGAAACCATAAAAACCCCATAAACATATGGAAATTAAATAACATCCTCCTCAATAACTAATGGGTTACAGACAAAATTAACCAAGAAATTAAACAATATCTACAATCCAATGAAAATTCAAACACAACTTATTGGTATTTGTGGGATGCAATGAAAACAATTCTTGGAGGGATATTTATACCGGTGAGCTCACACAGTAGGAAAACAGAGTGAGAACAAATAAGCATCCTAATGGTGCACCACAAGCCTCTAGAAAAAGAAGAACAAATCAAGTCCAAAGTCAAAAGATGGGAAGAAAACATAAAGATTAGAGCAGAAATTAATGCAATTGAGCCAAAGAAAAAAACACAAAGAATTAATGAATCAAAAGGCTGGTTCTTTAAAAGATTAAATAAAAATTTTTTACCTTTCTAATTTTTTTAAAGAGAATACAAAATAATAATAGTAAAGAAAACTTTAGACGCAATACAGAATTTCACTAAACAAGACATGAATTCGGCAATGTTTGTTGTATTGCATAGTGTTGCTTTCAAATTTGTTGTTTGGATTACACACATGTGCATACAAAATTGAAGGAAAGCATTATAGTAAATGAAGAACAGAAAAAAATAAGCATTAGCTTCTTTCCATAGACCAGCAGTAATCAGCAGTATAGTTATCCAAGCCATCTTGCATACATACATAGCTGTATCTCTCCATCCTCCTCTCTCTCCTGTCCTCCTCCTCTCAAGATTTCCTTCCCTTTGAATAGACTATTTTCCTTTTCACAGTATCTATTGTACCTGTCAGATTTTATTTACTCCTTCAGGTTCTTACACTAGTGAGATAATACAATGCTTGCACATGCAGCTCTGATTTATTTCACTTAAGAGTATGGTCCCTAGTTGCATCCATTTACTGATAAATGGGCTTGCTTTTTATACTCTGTATTTCGTTGATCTACGTAAGATTAAATAAAATTGATACACACCTAGATAACTTCATCAAAAAGAAGGAAAAAACCTCAAATTCAAGCCATAAGGAATGAAAAGGGTGAAATTATTACAGATTCTGTGGAAATTCAGAAGATCATCAATTGTTACTTGGAAAATCTTTACTCTCACAGAATCGATGACACAGAAGAAATAGTCAAGTTCCTAGATAGCTACAAATTAACAAAATTAAACATTTTGATTTTCTACTTTAATTTTACTTTGAGCCAGGATTTCCATTTTTTCTCAAGTATCTTCAAGTTTCTCATTAGATTATTTTTTAAACATGCTGCATTTTCCTATGTAAGCATTTATCACAAATGAACTTCCTTCTTATATCTGCTTTCATTGTCACCCGAGGTTCCTAGTGTGGTGTACAGGCATTGTTATTGTCTTCCAGAAATTGTTTAATATCTTTCTCGATTTTTTTTCTGCAAACCACTGGTCATTCAGGAATGTATGATTAGGTTTTCAGTTATATCTACATTATCTGTGGTTTCTGCTGAGATTGATTTCTGATTTTATTGCACAGTTGTTTTCTAAACATGGGGGATGGTAATTCCTTTATGTTTACATAATTAGGATTTGTGAACTAATTTGTGATATATTTTGGAGAAAAGACCATGTGCTGCATAAAACAATGTATACATTGTAAAAATAAAATAAATTAAAAAGTTCAAGCAAAAAAAAAAAGTCATTCATGCTCAAAGTCCTACAGAAAATTTAAATAAATGGTCTTTACTTCAATCTGACAAAAGCCATCTATGACAATCCAAAGGCTAATATAATTCTAAATGGGAAAAACTGAAATCCTTTACTCTTATATCTAGTACAAGATAAAGTTGTCCTCTATCACCACTCCTATTCAATATAGTTCGGGAATCATTAGCTAGGGCCATTAGACAAGAGATATAAATAAAAGGAATAAGAATAGGTAAAGAAGAAGTTAAGTTATTATTATTATTATTTACAGAAGACATGATATTTTACTTGGAAGACCCAAAAAACACCACCAAGAAGCTACTAGAATTAATACAGAAATTCAGTAGGATAGCACGATACAAAGTCAATACTCAAAAGTTAGTAGCATTTCTATACACAGATAACAAACACACTGAGAGTGAAATTAGAGAAACAATACCGTTTACAATAGCACCGAGGAAAACGAATTGCCTTGGAATTCATCTAACTAAAGAAGTCAAAGATTTTTTTTAAGGAAAACTACACTACTCTGAAAAAAGAGATCATAGAGGATTTCAGAATATGGGAAGATATTCCCTGCTCCTGGGTAGGAAGAAACAACATTGTGAAGATGGCCATATTCCCAAAATTGCTGCACCAATTTAATGCCATCCCTATGAAACTACCCACAACATACCCCTGAAACCTAGAGAAATAGTTCCTAAAATTTATTTGGAACCAGAAAAGACCTAGAATAGCAAAGACAATCCTGGGCAACAAAGATAAGGAAGGATTACAATTCCTGACTGGAAATTATACTACAAAGCTACTGTGATAAGGTCAGCATGATACTGGCAACGAAATAGACCTGAGGATCAATGGAATACATTAGAAGATGCAGAAACCTCTATGAACACACTCAGTCACCTGATCTTCGACAAAGGGGCCAAACATGCTTACTGGAAGAAAGACAGCCTCTTTAACAAATGATACTGAAAAAATTGGCTCTCTACATGGTGAAAATTAAAACTTGACCTAGTCTATACCATGCACTAACCTAAAGTCAAAGTGGATTGAAGATTTAAACATTAAAACAGAAACATTAAATCTCCTGGAAGAGAAAGTAGGAGGAACTCTTGAAGACATAGGGGTAGGCAAAGGGTTCATGAACAAAAATCAAATCACACGGGA